AGAAAGCAATAGATAGTGAATAATAATATAAAGTCAACCACAATACTTAACAGGTGACAATCAACAAGTATAAGAACCATTGACAACAACACCAAGCATACCTATGAGGACTCAAGCCTCCACACCATACTCATTTGGGAAATAGGTTCTTTGAATTTGATTACATTAACATAATTCAAGATTCATTCCCTCCAATATTACCGTGTCGGAACGTGACACTCCGATCCCCTAATACTACGTGTCGGAACGTGACACCCGATCCCCTAATACTATGTGTCGGAACGTGACACTCCGATCCCCTAATACTACGTGTCGGAACGTGACACTCCGATCCCCTAATACTACGTGTCGGAACGTGACACTACGATCCATTTATCTCCTTAATTTTATTTCATAAGTCTTCATTATGCCAAGGCGTCATCTTAACAGAGAGGATTCAAGATTAAAGATTCAACAGTATCAACATTCTAATCCACCATAATTACACAATTACAACATACAAACCCACAATCAAGCATATAGAAGACTTTACAATACCACCCAATACATATCAATCGTTATTAAGAGTTTACTATGAAATAGCATAAACCATAACCTACCTCCACCGAAGAATCGCGATCAAGCAAGTTACTTGTCAATGCCTTTGCTTTCCTCTTCGCTTCTCCCTTTTCTCGCTCGTTCTCCCTCTCTCTGTTCTTTTTATTTTTCCTTCTCCAGATTCTTTTTCTTTTACCCTAATTATCATATAATTCATTATGACAAAAGTAACCCATTATTTATTTCAAGGTTATCTCCTTTAACCCCCAAGTAAATAAATTATTAAACTTACCCCACTAATTTCATAAAGTTTGTCATTAATGGTCCAAAATACCCCTTTAAAACTTTTAGCAGAAATCCGACCCAGTCGGGGTTACGCAACTTGTGACGGCCCGTCGTACCTGCGACGGTCCGTGCTGCAGTTCCGTCGCGGAGTTCAGAGAGTCGCTCCCAGTACCCAGATTTTCAGAGTTGAAGTGTCTCGACGGACCGTCGTACCTGTGACGGTTCGTCTTACCTGCCGTCGAGGGTAATCAGGAGAGCAACAGAAGAAATTATACAAGTATGGGACGACGGAATCCATCACGGTCCGTCATGACCATGACGGTCCGTCGCGTGATCCGTCGACCCAGTCAGTTTTTATCCAAAAATAGTTCTACTGCTTGAACCGACTAAACAGGTCGTTACACCAACACAACAAGTTTAGTTCTTTAGATGAATCTCATACTACTATAGTCTAACATATCATTGTTCAACACTTATAGCTAGGTAAAATATTCCTAATACTAAGCTGGGATCTTACGATAATTATGTAAGCTAACTCTTTTGACACATCAAAGTATAACATGATCCTTTGTTGTTTCGACTATAATGACCCTCCCATTAATATTATAAATTAATAAGTGTAAGTATAAATATATCAAAGAACATTTAGTAAAATATAATTTTATTATATTCTGTTTTTCTTATTAAACTTCAAATATAGTGGAAACTCATCTCTGACTTTTTATACCATCACAAAAAGTTTCAATATTGTCTTTTCTAATTGCATCACAAATTGAGAAGAGTTCTAGATACAAGTGTTTCCTTTCGTGTAATTGATTCCAAATGTATTGTAGCATATTCAACTTTATCATTAACATTGTTTTTCCAATGATATCGATGATTTGTTCTAAGCATTGGACCTCTAAACATGTATTATTTTCACCCATCAAATAGGTTGTTAACGTCCATTATATTATCCTTATCGGGATCACCAATCATTGCCTCAAGTTTATGAATGACGTTTCACAAGTGGATTCTTTCAAATTCTTTGAGATTTCATCCCTAAATAACTTTTCGGTGTCGAAGCACATTTTAAATTAATAAATATTAATTTATTAATTAAATAATTCCTATACAAAATAATAATATTTTGTGATCGCGCCTACTAATTTAAAGAGGTTTTACTTTAAGTTTATTTTGATTGTATCTTCGTTAAAAATATTTTGATTTGTTAATTATTATGACTTATACTATTTGTTATGTATTTTATAAATATATAAAATTTCACAAATAACTTGATAATTTATGCGAAAATTTTTGCAAAAACATAAACGATGGGACTCTTGAAAAATTAAAATATCACAAAAATTAAAATAACAATTCTGAAATAAAGTATATGATTATAATTTTATCCAATATTTGATTGGGATATTAATTAGTCTTTGAATTACTTATCTTCATTTTTATCATAATAATAATAATATAAGTTTCTAATACACATGATATAACTTAATTCAGAATGATTAATTTCTACTACTTATTCTTAATCGAACGATAATTTATTTGCAAAACTCATCCAATCATTTATATCACAGTGATGGATAAATTATCTCATATACATGATGAGATAAATTATCTCAGTATAGCTAATTACCCAAAGATAATTAATCCTGAAATAACTTGTTTCCAACCAAACTTGTAACATAATAGATTCCACCTTGTTTTGGTTGGAAACTTCTTATCCCACTATGTATATGAGTAAACTTATCCATCATAATGATACAAGTAGAGGGGATAAGTTATCCTGAATATGACTACGAACTAGACACAAAAAAAATATCACATCACTATATCTTATTCCATAATTATTTATTTTTATCACTCATATTAAACGACACCTAAATTAATTATGTAATTGTCAAAAATAAAAAGAATTCTTTTATTGCTTCTTGTTCACATTATTTTCACCCCGTTCTCGATCAACACCAATGAAGCACTAGAGATATTCATCAATGGTGACTTTTTAGTTTTTCATAGATTAAGTAATCTCATAAAAAATTATTCATTATTTATTAAGTTTTCTTCGTAACATAAAAAGTTTTTTAGATATGTGCTTCTGTTGCTTTAGAATGTGGTTGCTCTTCTTAGTTCGTTCAATCAACAATACAAATAAATCAATTGTAACCAAACTTGATCCATATACCATCTTATGTACTTCAATATATTTAAATAATTCTCAAAATTGTTAGTATGAAGAATATTTGAATGTTATTTTAAAAAATAACGGTTAGATCTATAAAAACGTGTTTTAAAAAATAAAAATTAAAAGAAACACTGAGAAATCATTAATCTTAAATTCAAAAATATCAGAAATTATTTTTAAAAAAAAATATATTTCCAAAAATGATCTTGTTGACTATCTATGAATAATAGTTAATCTCTTTAAAAAATTCGATTTACTTTCATATGTGTTTTCTCTATCTTAGCCTTAGGACCTCAATAGTCAATACGGACAACTTACGCAGCGTTTTGGACGTTTCCTTTTAGGAAGCTATGGATTTTCAATTTGAGGTATTGCTCGCCGCCACAACCACCGATTTATTGATTTGCGGCATCAAATTCCGGTGGTTCTGCCGCCCCGACAATCACCTACCACCGCCGTTCACCGACGAAGCCAGATACTGCGCCGTGTGCCTCTACGACGTTATTAGCGGGGAGAATTGCCGGAAACTGCCGAAATGTGGGCACGTGTTCCACGTGGAGTGCGTGGACGCGTGGCTACAAAGCAATCGGACATGTCCACTCTGCAGAAGGCAAGTTACTGATCAGGGGAGAGGCGAAACCGTAATTTCGCGGGCGGAGGATTTTATTTTGGAAAAGATTTATAATCCTATTACTGAGATAGTCACAGTGCTTGTGTCCGGCGGTATGTCTCTTGCACATCCATGAATCTATTCATCTTTTTTTTTTATATCATCGAGCTCTGTATGATTTCTATTGATTTCATCTGTTGTTTTTTTTGGATCCAATCTAGCTAATTTTGAGATGTAAAAATTGGGGAAGTTTCTTTTTTTTTCTTCTCTTAATTAATCCATTTGTACCAAATTTAGCCATAATGAATTGTATTAATATTAATTATCATAGTGAAGTTTTTTTACAGTCAATTGGATGGAGGAGATGTTTCATTTTTCCATTCTTGTGTAAGCTTTGTTCAAAGAAAATTATACCCTTCCAGATCTCATTCAGTGGATATGTTATTGTTGCTCTTCTATCGAGAAGATGATCAAAATAGTCCTATATATATACACTGGGCGATTTTGATGCTGTAAATTGTTTCATGGATGAGATAGATCTAGGACTCTAATGGAAATATAGATGTTAGTTGTGTTGGTGATAAAGGGCTGTTTGGTCATAAATTTTTCAAAGAAAAAGTTTAGCAATTTATTTTCATTCGTATAGTTTGTTATTATTTGATAATATTTTTAATAAATATTTCAAATTTTTTAATTTTTTTAATCTTGCGTCAAATCTCATTATTTGAGATCTTTTTAAAAAACTTTATCTTTTAAAAAGGAACACATCGATACTAGTAATGAAATGTTAAATGATAATATGATTGTTAATGAAAAAATGAAAAGTCATGTGACTTTGTCTACTTAACGATGTACAAAATGATATTTATTGGACCACTTTAAATTACCACATTGATCTAGTGTAATGGACACTATTAATTGTTACAGCGAATATTCAATTGACTTATAATACAAACTTATGATTAATTTTAATAATTTTTAAAATTTATGTAAATTATATTTTTATAAAATAGTGAAATATATCTCTCAAATACTGTGACTAAACACATAGTTAAATTTCACTTAAATTTTTATCCAAATACTATTTATTAAAAATTTTTAAAAATATATAATCAAACAGTAACGAAGGAAAAAAAATAAAAACTGAACAGACAAAGGTAGAAATAAAAATTTATAGAACATATTTTAGAAATTCGAAGAAACTTCTGTATATAAGAGGACTTTTACAGTAACTAAAAGAATAAATCAATTTCTAGAAAAAAATAAATGGTGCAAGTGGGCAGAAATGGCAGAAGAAAGAAAGGGTCCACCTTGTGTGGGACCATATTACATTATTTTTTGATTTTTCATATAAAGGAATACTATTTTGGATAAATATAGAGGACAAAAATATTTGAACAACACTATTTTTATCATTTTCTCTTGGTATATCTTATCAAACTAATTAATGATTTAAAATTATAAATTTAAATTATTATTATTAATAGTTTATGTAATTATTAAATACTAAAAAGAATAGTATAAGAAGAACAAGAAAATGCTTAATTTGCAAATAGAACTCGTAAAAAGAAAAAAAAGATTTAGTACAAACGGAGCCAGGTTAAAATAAAGTGAGTGGGGTATATATGTTATTGGTGAAGAAAGAAGTGAAAATGAAGTTTTTGGGTTGGATGTCTTGTTTCTTATTATGGAAAATCAATTACAATCATAAATAAATATGAAAAAAAATATATTTTTATTAATAAATAATTTGGGTATATAATTTTGTTTCTCCTTTTATACTTTTCTCATGATTCGAGAAATATTATTCATGATTTGAGAGATATCAATGACGTATTTCTCGAATTAAGACGATATGAATTTGATTTTTTTATAAATATTTTGTGAATTTACGAAATGTTCGACATGACTTTTTAACCCTATATATAGACATAAATTAGAGTTTAAAATTAGAATAACCTAAAAAAAAATTAATTGGAATCGAATATTTGCAGACTTGCAACTAGAATTAAATCCATAGTAAGAGTATGAAATTGTGAGAATGAAGCTACATATTTTTATGGGTATGAAGAAGAAAGTATGAAAAAAATAATTAAAAAAATGAATGTTTAAGGCAGATATATTTTCAACAAAATTGTATTCTGTGGTCCAAAATAATCTCTGCCAGGAAATGACATTTTAAAATTATGTGGAAAAGTTTATTCAAGCTAGCTTGAGTTATTTTTTCTTTAAATTCTATATTTTTTTTTATCGGAGATTTTCAAAAAAAAATTACCTATAAAAAGTTTTAAAATGCTGTGTTCTTCTATTACTACTACTTGTTTAATTTATGGAATCAAGAATCTTTTTATTTGTTTTTCTCTTTTTACCTTTGATAGATAAATTTAGAATTTCAAAACCTTATTAATAAAATATACTTGTAATAACTTTTTTTTAAGATTGTATCAAGTTAACTAAAATAAAATAAAGTGAGTTTTAAAAATGCAGGTTGTGATTTACCTTATTCTGAACGAGTATTTACAGTTGTGGTATTATAATAATAACATATATAAATAAAATTTAAATAGAATAATGTATATGTAATTTTAGCTCTACCTCGTGCAGGGAGTTACTGTATTGAATTATATGAAATTATTTACAGAGTTATTGTATTGAATTATACAAAATTATTTATAAATTGATGTTGATCTTTGGTAGGACATTTCAGGTGGGAGTGGTGGTGGCATGAAACATTTAAATGGATGTACGGAATATATTAGACCGCCTAATCTTAATTAAAATACTTTTATTTCAATTTAGATAAAGTGTTTTTTTTATGAGATGAAATATTCTTTTTGTTCTCTCCAATAATTTAGAATAAATAAAAAATATTTTAATAGTTTAAGATGAAACATCAAAGTGGAATGCATTGGATGATGGATAACATGTTAGCATGTTTTCTATCACTAAACAAGGTTGGATTTTTTCTTAATCATGTGTAGGCAATAATGATTAGAGAACTTAATTAATTGTTTTATATTTGTCAACCCATTTTTACATCTCCAATAGATAGAATTACTATACTCCTTGTGTGTTAGGCTGATTCATGGGTCGATATATATTTCCTTAATCGCTAATAATCGATCTATTTTTTTCTTTTTTAGTGTTTTTAATAACTTATTTATTTTGAGAAATTAAGAAATGACTAAAAACTTTATATATTGTACCCTTAACTAATTACTTTGAAAAATGTAGGATTTCTTAAAAAATTTAAAATTTTCACTTCATCAATTTCATATTAAATAGGGGTAAAATGGTAAATTACTATGACAATCACTATTATTTCAATAGGTGTATCAATTCAAAAGTGAATAAATAAATAGAGATCGAGGGAGTATGAAAAATCATGAAAGTCGCGTAATTCTTAAAAGTGGTTTGTAAATATGAAAATATGTCTTAAAAAATTATGTGATTATACGTAATATCACGAAAAATTAAGAAAGTCGCATAATTCTTAAAAAGTTGGCTCGTAAATACGAAAATATGCCTTAATAAATGGTGTGTCTATACATAATGTTCTCTCAACTTATTACGGAGACCCTTATAAAAAAATTCTATTAGATTGTTTGGAGTGCTCCAAGGCGTCAGATCCATGGACTATAATACACACGCAAAATCAAGAAAGCCAAATAATTCCTACAAGTGAACTCGTAAATATGAAAATATACGTTAAAAATGATGTAATTATACGCCAAACTATCCCAACTAACTACAAATGTCCTCATAAATTTTTTCAGAAACTTTTTTGAGTGCTCTTAGGTGCCTGATACATGACTAATAAATACGAAAAACCAAGAAAGTTTTGTAATTCCTAAAAGTTGGCTCGTAAATGAGAGAATATGTCATAAAAATGATTTGACTATTCTCAACTCATTATGGAGGTTCTCGTAAAGTTTTTTAGGAATTTATTTTGGGTGCTACAAGGCGTCAAATTCATGGGCTAATACACACGAAAAATCAAGAAAATCGTGTAAATCCTAAAAACTGACTCGTAATGCGAAACTTTGCCTCAAAAATGGTGTGACTATACATAATGCCCCCCTAACTCATTACGGTGGTCCTCATAAAAAAATTTTAGAAAAAAGTTTGATTGTTCCAAGGCTTCAGATCCATGGGCTAAAAACACATGAAAATTAAGAATGTTGTGTATTTCCTATACTTAGGCTCATTAAAAAGGTATGACTTTACATAATGCTCTCCCAATTTATACACACGAAAATCAAGAAAGTTGCATAATTTCTAAAAATTGGCTCGTAAATTGCAAAATATGCTTTTAAAATGGTGTGATTATAGTAATACTCCCCAACTTACTATGGATGTCCTCACAAAGTTTTTTTAGAAATTTTTTTTGGGTGCTCCAAGACGCTAGATCCATGGAATAATAGACGCGAAAAACAAAAAAAATTGAATAATTCCTAAAAATTGGCTCTTAAGAATGAAAATGTCTTAAAAATGATTTGACTATACTTAATGCTCCCCCAACTTATTATGTGTTTTACTTTCTTACATTTAATTAAATGCCTCAAAGAGATAAGCAACTATAATACTCTAAAACTTCATATCTTAAATTGAAATAAACTATAGTTATTTTTGATAAATAACATTATTATAGCTATTTAACTTTAATAATCTTATTATTATAGTCATTTTTATAAGTCGATCTCTAAAAAATAAGACATAGATTTTGTCCTCGGCTTATGGGCTTGTACAAAGCACCAATGTAGTACCAAGGTCCAACATGCTAGAGCTTAGTAACATGGAAAAATTAGTAAACTAATCAAAATAAATAACATATTTAGTAAGTATCCATACTTTATAAATATAAGCAATAATGTCAAAAATGTCATTATTTTAAAAAAAATTATGTGTCCCAATTTTCTTCCTATTTTATCTCTCTTTTTCAATTAATTCTATATATCCTTTTTTTAAAAAAAATTATTCTCTCTCATATTTATCTTTTCAAATTGTTAATTCTCTCTCCCATTTAATTTTTTTCTCTCTCATGGTTATCTTTTCTGATTTTCCTCCAACATTCAAGTTGCAAATATTTTTTTGCCATATATTTTGGTTGTTTTTTTAATCCAAAATTGAATCAACAAGAATCTCTTTGATTAAGGTATCTCTAATCTTTATCCTATTTTCAGATTTCTTTTCTAATTTTTTTTTGTTTAAATCTTAAAAAATTGTTGTTTGTATTTTTCAATTTCCGTTATGATTTACTCTCCAATGGCTGATCCAAGAGGCTTACTAGAGGTTTTCATCTTAATCAACCAATTTCTGGTGATTTTTCATCCTTTAATTTATTTATTACT